GGGGGGGTGGGGGGGGGGGGGAGCACTCACTCCAGCACATCCGTAAACCCGACCGTATCACCCCCCCCACGCACACCAAGCCAGTCCCGTCGCCCCCCGCCCCACCGAGCGGGGGTGTTTTAAGGGGGAAGCGAAATCCCCCCCCCCCCCCCCCCACAGCCATAATGAATACTGTACATTCCTAAATGTTGTGCTGTAATCTCTCCCTCTCTGTCCACCCAGCACTTTCTTCTGTACCCCCAAACCCCTCCACCTCAGCCCCACGGCCGGGGACGGCCCCCCTTTGTGCACCGCACACCCCACTTCCCTGCCCCCGCCTTCTTGGCCAGCAATTTACACAGAAAAGCAGAGTCCTTGCTTAATAAGAGAAGCTGGAGACCTTTTGTTCCGCCCCATGACAAGAGCTAACGCTGCAGATCAGCCCCTCTCTCTCCTCGGATCTCTCCTCCCGGCTTTCTCCCTCCTCTCACCTCCCAAAAATAAAACTACCATCCCTGCGGGGTGCAGAGGGGCAAACGGAGCCGAGGCTCAGCTCTGAAGAGAAGAAAGGGAAAGGCACCCTCCCCCCCCGAGCCCCATACCACACACACACACATATATAGAAAGCACTTACCTTGATATTTGGCGTCAATTTCCCTCATCAAGGAGACATTTCTCTGCAGATCGAAGGGCATAGACTCGATGGAGTCCAGATAATCCTCCACATAGTTCACTAGGTGAAGCTGGTCTCCGTTTGCAGGACTCAACATTTTCATCCGGCAAAGAAAAAAAAATATCCTTCCCCACACCTCTCTCTCTCTGTCTGCGTGAGAGCAAGTGCTGCTCCCTCCAAAGACGGTAACCCCGATGAACGGCTCACTCCCTGCCCACCTCTCTCTGTAGCTCCCCCAAAAAACCGAGAGAAGCTACATCTGACTCCTCTTGTGTGAAACAGAGGGAGAGAGAGAGACACACACACCCTCCGCTAGTCCCCTACAGCCAGCAGCAGCTGATTGAATGGCTGTCGTTGTGGGTAATTCACGAAGGAGGTGGTAGGAACAATCGGAGGGATTTGTGTGTGTGTGTGAGGGGGGGGGGGGGGGAGGAGGAGGAGAAAGGAGGGGGGCTCAAACCAGCTCCTCCGAAACAATCTGGAAACAAAATGTGCTCTGCACAGTGTCTGGCAGAAGCAGA